AAACGACTCATCGTTGCTGTTGCAACAAACAACAACAATAGATTTTAGTGGCATTAAACATCTGGACTTCGCATTTACAGTATCCACAGATATCAGCGTGCGAAAAGATGCATAGGCATTGGCATTTCCTTTTTGACTGTATTATTTGTTTCAGTTGATCGTCTCTTCAACCGTCATCGCCGCTGCCGTTTTCGCCGCTCTCGGTGGCTATCTGAATGACAAATTTGGCAGGAAGAAGACCATACTTCTTTCCAGCATCATGTTCGCAATTGGAGCAGCCGTCATGGGGTTAGCCAACTCAAAAGAAATGCTGCTGGTTGGGCGAATCATTGTCGGTGCAGGAGCAGGTGAGCAAGCATACTGGCTTATCGAAAACGGCGTTCAGGGATTAATTATAACTGATAACAATTAATAATTAATACTGGGTTAATTTATATGCATAATTTTAAATTGGAACTGGTCCAATTGGTTTTTAAACGAGTTCTCAACATTTTCTAATTGCAAAAACTGCAGAAAATCGCCGAAGACCTCAGGAGCCTCAGGCAATGCAGGAAAGCCGAAGCGCTTAACCGCTCGGCCGTCATGTCATTGAAGAATGGAGATGACGCATCAACGGCTGATAACGCTTGCCGTTTGCGTCAAAGACACGTGTAACTCCAGCATTGGACCAACAGGTAGAGAGAAGTGCAATGCCGGTCCTCATTAGTGAAACTGAAATTTGGCATGCTACGCAGCAGATGAACGAACAACATATCCCACAAAGAAACGGTCTGACGATTGAAGTAATCAGAGTATGTGATCAGACACGTTTGAAGGCTCCAAAAAAGAGGCTCACTTGCTACCTGCAAACGGAAAGAGTACCATCGAGCTGTAATGAGGCAAGAACCATTATGCTGTTCAAGAAGGGCGAGAAGCAAGATCTGAAGAACTATCGACCTGTCTGCCTGCTCTCACAAGTCTAATTGCACGCACTCCAATTGCTCTGAAGAAAGTATGATTACCATTGCCATTGAAATATGCATGAAATCCGATTTGGTCACTAAACACACGAAATATGAATTATTTGATCCACAAGGAGTTAGGAACAAGAAAATCACTTTTACCTCTCAAATGCAAATTTTATTCAAACTTCTCCAAACACAGTTTGCTTCTTCTGTGTTAATAATGGCAAAATTTTGAATAGAGACGGTTTAATTGAATGAACATTGATTCTTCAACTGGTTTTGCAGTAATGTTCACGACTTTTAGCCGTAGGAACAAGCGAAAGACAGAGTTAAATCATCAATTAAATTTCAATGATGATTCAGGCTGAAGACTCATGGTCATTCCGGGTGAAACGTCTCGAATGCCAATGGTCTAAGTGAGGGATTACTGTAAGGTTCGAAGATCAGTGTGGGATGGGAGATTTTTTTTTCGTAATGAAGATGTGTCATGACCAAACAAATCGTCAGCAGAAGAAAAGGTGACATTCCGTAGTCAGTTGACCTCTTCCTCTCCTTGAAACAGATCTATTTAGAAAAACGAAACGGGTTATGAAATTATTAATCCCAGGCTAACGATTTATGAAATCTGCCTACTGTGTTTTTAACCCTTTACACGGAAGAGGAGACTCTTTGACAAGACTACAAAAAATCAGTAAATGCTGGTATTCGTAAATGAAGAGGAAAATAATATCCCTCTCGTCATTTGGATGGTCGATCAATGCAACGTCTGAGGCGTCATTTAGCTCAGATTTATATGCTGACGTGATCATTCCTCTAAGCAAAAGATAATGCATTTAACGGATACACAGACTTAAAGAAGAAGTCTAATGTTTCAATTTAGGAACTTCTTCCTGTGTCATTCCCGCTTACATTGCTGAAGTGACTCCACCCACGACGCGAGGACGTATGTTAGTCACTTTCCAGCTAATGATAACCCTTGGCTTCTGGGTAGCTAGTCTGTCAAATGCCGCATTTAGTTATATTAAAGACGATGATCTCAACTGGAGGTTCGTTTTCTACGGTATCAATTAAAACACCTGATTTTCATGTTCGTGTATTCGTTTTCTAGACTGATGCTTGGCGTCGCCGGAGTACCGCCGCTTTTTCAGCTTCTGGGATTTTCTTGGTTGCCTGAAAGTCCACGCTGGCTGGCCCTTCACAGCTATAAGGAAAAAGCTGAAGCTGTTTTAGCAGATATTTACGGAGGAGACGAAGACGCAAAGAGATGGGCTCAAGCAGATGTTCAGCAAATGATCAAAGACCAGGAAAAGACACAGTCAGAAATCGAAGCGAAAGGTTATCATTTTTTTGAATTCCACACTTGACGCAATACAATCAGGTATTACCAATCCCAAATAGGTTTTTTTGTGAAAAATAGCACTAAATATCGACGATAGGTGATTATGAAAATTCAGTGTATTCAATATCATTCCAAAATTGTCTAGCTACGTTTTAAATATATCTGATTATGCGTTAGGGAGAAAATATTCGTTCTGCCATTCAGAATTAAATATTTATCTTCTTCTCCTTCCCTGTCAATTTTAAATGTTGCGCTCCATCATTCAACGTTAAGGAAGACAATCAGACCAGCATATCGCAATGGACCAGAACAAAGCCTAAATGTTCTGTTGACCACTTGCCAGTTTTTACCCAGGATGTCACTGTAACGAGAAACATCAGTGAGTATGCCAGAGATTGTAAGTTAATAATGCGGTGGCACACAGGTCTGGCAGATCTAGACCTGTCTTTCTGTTTGGATTGCAAGTCGTACTTACCCTCACCCTCCAAGAGGGCACGACGGAGCATGGAACTTATGTCATCTCTACGTCTAGGCCAGAGTCAAAGTTCCTCATTTTAAATCATAAGAATTGCGACTGCCCTGACAGACTTTACGACGAAATGAAAAGAAACACTTCTTACCATGAACTACACTTTCATAGTATATCGAAATCGACCGAAAAGAGCAGTTGACTGTAATTCAGTTGAAACAATGGTTTAAAATGGGCGCATACACAGGCACTTCATGTTGTGTCTATTTTTAAGTTAGAACCTCTGATTTGTGTCTTCAACTCGGCGTATGCAAGATTAGACGCTTCTGCATATTTTCAGCTGATGGCTGATATCGAGCTCTGGAGATAGGTAGGAAAAATCTGGAATGGCAACGGGGCATTTGCTTTCTCATGTCCTAAATTTATTTGGAGTAGTGATTTATGTAACGGCTTCAGAGGTCTTCTTGCAATGTCACGCTAGATTCTTTCAGGTGGTTCAAGCATCCTTTCCACAATGATCAAAACACACTCAACTCGAAAGGCGTTAGTCATTGGATGCATGCTGCAGATGTTTCAACAACTTTGCGGGATCAACACCGTCATGTAAGTACCACTTGGTGCATATTTACGGTATAGTACTCGGCCTTATTGACGTCATTCATTATGTAATCACACTGTCTATTACAGTATGAAGGTAGCTGCCAAATTACCATATTTTTTTCTTTCTGCATTCTCTGAGGATCAATTAACCAATCGATCGTTCCCGAACAAACGGTTTAACAATTGTTCCAAAATATGAAAGTTATTTCGCTTGGATCAGTAGCACCGGCTGAAAATCAGCGAGGAGTTTCGCCGAATGTGTGACAGTCGTCACTCGTCGCGGTTTTCAGGCTTCTCCCCCCAAGCGCGACCTTCTTGGCTCATGATGTTATTTTCACACCGTCGTGGACGGGGTCAAATAGGCCATATTTGTTCGGGAGGGTGACAGTCGACGATCGACGACCGTCTGGCATGCCTGAGCCGACCAACGTGCCGGGCCCACCGTAGCTTCTCAGCCCTGTTTTCACTCCCTCCGCTGTCTGACCACCAGCCGTGATCGAAACGCGAAATTGCCAACATTCTTCTTTCCATGGCTCTCTCGTTGACAGAGAGTTAGTGCTGTTCGGCCTTGGTGAATTGCTACTGCTCACAACGATGCAACACTGCTGGCAGGGCGGCAGAATTGAGGAAGCGGTCC